ACACCACAAATCAGAGTCTGCATTTTTGGTTTTTGGGTTTTTCTTAGCTGCCCAGAGAGCCAGTTACCAGCACACCACTGGGCTCTATGCTCAACCTCACTCAACAAATAACCGAGTTACACTCGGTGAACAAGAAACTCAGTGGACGCAAAGGGGAAGTGGAGGCCACTGGCCACGCCTGAGACACCTTTGCTGCATCGAGTGTTGGGAAACACTTGGTTGGGACAGACACTGCGGCAGCGGGGAGGCTGGGTGGAGCCCCACCAGGCAGCCCCTGTCAGCAGCCCTGAACTGAAGCCAGAAGAAAGGAAGGTGTGGCGTTTGTACCCCGGGGGGGGGGGAGGGGAGAAACAGTCTGCACTTCCAGGCCAGTGTGTTTGTCTGCGACAACGCAGGACAGGCGGGCCAGGAGTCCAGAGACATGTTGCTGTGTGACCTTGGACAAGTCACGTTCCCTCTCTGCACCTCTTTTCCTGCCAGCAACGTCAGGAGCTGAGATCAGTCTCCAGTCCCTACCCAGTCCGACTCCCTGTGTAAACCTTGGGCACTGGGCCACCAAGGGCTGAGCTTTTCCCCAGCAGGGTGGTTCTCGATCGGGGGAATTCTGGTCTCCAGGGGACACACAGCAATACCTGGAGACATTTTTGGTTGTCACTCCTGAGAACCGATGCTACGGGCACCTCGTGGGGTGGGGCTAGTGATAATGCTGAAAACCCCCAGTACACAGGACAGTCCCCCCTGCCCCCATGACAAAGAATTATCTGGCCCCAGATATCAAAACTGCTGAAGTTGAGAAACCTTGCCCAAGCAGGACTGGGGACATGGAGGGAGTTCCTCATACTGTTTCCTCATCTGTAAAGTGGGCAAAAATTCTGCCCTGCCAACCAGGTAGAGGTTACAGCAGACATGGTATACTGATCCATCCGGCACCCACTCCCAAGCCCTGTCCCTCCCCTCCTCCACCTCAGAGGCTGGGAAAGTAGCCAGGGGTGGTCCCATGCCTCGGCTCTGGCCAGTGAGACAAGAGAAGCCCACCCAGGGCTTCGGGGACAGTGTCTGACTTCCTGATAAAAGGCACCATCACCGGCCTGGCCACATTCCCCTCTTCTTTCTGCCTCAAACCTGGAGATCACATACAGAGCGGGGCCCACGATCTCACGAGGTAAGGCCGCAAGCAAGAGAACAGAAGCCGACACGCGGAAGGGGGCAGAGCCTGGGGTCCTGCTGGCCTCACAGAAGGATGCAACTGAGCGGTTCCAGCAGCTGACAACCCCTGGACTCTCTGGGACGTGAGAAAAATAAAGCCCCTTTGTTTCAAGTCACTTGCAACCAAGTAAATGCCTTCCTGAGGAGAAACTGAGGAGCCACCACACCAGTGTTCTAACAAAAGTCCCTCACAGACCCCACTTTATAAAAAAAAAAGATCAGAGGCGAGCTGCTTTGGTCGAAGCGGAGGGCAGGACGCAGGGCCCCAACCCCCAGCCTCCCTCTCAACCCCAGAGACGACCCCCTCCCAGGTCCTCTTTGGAACACCAGGGTACCCCTCGCACGGCTCCATGAGGAAGAGCTCTGTGAGGCCTCAGGGAGACGCTGAGAACTGTCGCCACCGAGTGAACGGCACAGCCCTCACGTGGGGCTAAGCAGACACTGTCCCCTTCTAATGGTGAGGAGACAAGCGTCGTGAGTAATTTCACGTCTGGCCAACGTCACAACAGGGGTCCATGAGCGGGTGCTTGGCACCAACACCACCGAACCCCTGCTCTCTGATGGGGCACTTCACATTCACCCTCTCGTTTAGCCCAGGGAGGGCTGCCTAACCCCCAAGGACAGACTGGCTGGCCTTCCCTCAGCCCCCCGGGGCTGCACACCGCCTCACACTGGACAGACCGACCTTCAGCATTCACGGCTTCCCATGGGAATAACACGGCCCAGCAGGAAGGAGAGCAGGGGAGGAGGGGGGAGGCAGAGGGACACTTACCACTTTGGCTTCTCCTTGTAGGCAGAAGGGCTTCCCTGCAAAGAAGAGAGAGGGGACAGACAAGTCAGGGAGAGTGGCTTCCTCAGGTCACACCTGCTCTAACGTGGAGGGCAGCATGGGGCCCAAGCAGAACCGTTCAGAGTAGGCCCAGCCCTGGGCGGCAGCAATCACCCACCACACAAGGTACACAGAAGCGCCCGTTCCCAGCTCCCCAGCTGACCCAACCCTGTCCCATTCCCCTCCACCATGCCCAACTGTTCTCCAGCGTCCCCCTCTTTGCTCATGCCATGGCCTCTCCTTAGCTTGCCTTCTCTGTCCTGCACATGTCTACCCACGGAAATCTGACTCAGCTCCGAAACCACCTGCTTCAGGATTTCCAGACAAGAATCCCAGACTGCCACCCCCTTGGATTGCTCTGATGGCATCTTGCCTCTTAAGCAGTGAGTACAGTGAGTGAGCGCCCGGCTAAGCAGCGAGTGAGCTCTCAGGGGCTCGGAACCAGCCATGGTGGGAATGTGTACGATGGTGTGAGCAAACACCACAAATCAGAGTCTGCATTTTTGGTTTTTGGGTTTTTCTTAGCTGCCCAGAGAGCCAGTTACCAGCACACCACTGGGCTCTATGCTCAACGTCTCTGCAAAGAAGAGAGAGGGGACAGACAAGTCAGGGAGAGTGGCTTCCTCAGGTCACACCTGCTCTGATGGGACTAACTTACCAAGGTAAGTTAGTGGCCATGCCTTCTGCCCCTGGCTCTGAGCTCCCACGGAACAGGGGCTGCCAGTATCCAGCTCCGTCTGACCCACAAGGCTGTGCCTGGTGCTGGACTCACAGGAAGAGCCCCAGAAAGGCTTCCAGAGCAAATGGATGAATGCGTGAAAGAGGAAGGAATGAAAACTTACTCTTTTTCTGGGTCATGATGACACAGTTCACCAGCCCTATCATCAGCAGACCCAAGGCTGTCACACCTACAATCAGTCCTGGAAGGAAAAAGAGAAGCTCGCAGCAACTGCAGAAAGCAAACCCAAACGTACCAGGGGCCAGGCAGCCAAGTCCGTGACCAAAGATGTCTGGGTTGCCACGGGAGGGGCAAGCCCAGTCCAGAGGCTCTCAAATTCAGTTGCAAGACCAACAAGCTAAAAACTACACGCCAGACAGAACATGTCCGTCAGCCACATTCAGCCCCCAGGTCCCCACTTTGAGATCTGTGGTCTGATGGAGTCCTGACCCCAGAAGGGGAACCCATGAGGTGACCTGGCCCAGCTCACCAGCTAATGAGTTCATCAGAAATGGCAACCAGGAGACCATCTCCCCTTGCAGATAAAACGCTGACCCCACCTCTCTCACCCAGCGGTTCTTGGTGACAGCACCACGCCTTGGCAGAAGACAGGTCTCATCAGCACCCGCCTCCCAGGACAGAGGACAGGGTCCAGCCCGCAGCAGGCGCTCAGTAAGACCCTGAGAGAGTGGAGAGGCTGAACGAGCCCTCCTGGGACTTACCAATGGGAAGAGAGATGTCGCCTGTGCTGAGCCCTTCAGTGGGGGGGCTTGGAACCATCGGGAACAGAACGGAGGTGCTAGGAGCCGTGCTGGGCCCTGGAGTTGGCTCCCCACGCTGCGGCTGCGTGGGCCCCGGCTGGGACGTGGAGGCCGGGCGTGGGGCTGTTCCCAGGGTGGGGGGCACGGAAGTGCAGACTGCATCCACGCTGGCATTGCCGGGGGTGGCCACAGAGCTACAGCTGGCGGGGGAGGAGGTTTGGTCAGGGGACAACAGGGGCCAGAAGGGCTCGGCGTGGCTGGGCTCGCTCATGGGGAGCCAGGAGGGCGGGCAAGGAGTCCCAGCAGCCAGGATGCGGGAGAGAGAATTTGTGCCACATCCCCCCTCAGAACGGCCCCTTTCTGTCCCCATCCCCCCTCCCCCCCCAGTCCCCATGCCCCCCACCCAGTGCTGACTTCCGGGGCCAGGCTACCATACACCTGCTGGCTGTGCTGGGACCCGCCCACCATGGGACAGAGCCATCCCGGCAGCGAGTAAGGCTCCCCAGTGCCTCAACCCAAGGCAGTGAAGGGGGTGGATTTCAGGTCCCATGGCATGGCCGCCCTGTGCGCTAGACCACAGTCCCCGGGGACCGCCCTGCCCTCCCTGCTCCTCCAGAACCCAACGACTCAGCCACTCACATCCGGTGGGGCCTGCAAGTGTCTGTGGATGACGTTGTGCTGGAGAACGTCCCTGGGGCACAGGGAGTGCACACCACATCTGACGTTGCAGTTCCTTCAGGGAAAAATCGGAACTCGTCACCAACTCAAACTCTTAGGAGAACAAGCGGGCCTTGGCGCGGGAGCCCTAGGAGAAGTCTGAGGGGCCTACGGACCTCTGTCTGCACCGCTGCCCCTTAAAACACACTCGTGAGCATGCACACATGCACACGAGCGTATGTACACGCACGCTCGTGCACGCACAGCTGGGCACTTTGTTCCTGAACCAATTCTAGTGACTTCCTGGGCTCCGGGATCACGTGGGTTCATCTTCTGGGGGCACCACCTTATTTTCCAGGAACTTCGGGCTTAATCTGATCCCTCTCTGGACCCCTCAAGGCCTAGCACACAGTAGGCGCCTAATCTGGCGTGCTGGAGGAGAGAACGGAAGGGGTAGGGGTGGCCAGCACCTGGCCTCCACTGCCCACGTTCCCAGCTGGGGCTGACGGCTTGACACCCATGAAGGACAGGCCCACGGGGGTCCCCGAGGGCCGCTGGCCCTGGCCCCATACCTGGTTTGGCCACGCCAAAGCCCGGGCGACACTTGCGCAGCAGCGCGCACAGCCGGCAGCCTTCCTGCCTCCTCAGCGTGCAGTACCAGCCCGGCTTGCAGGTGCAGATCCGGTTCTGCTCCCGAGTGCAGGCTTGAGTCTCCACTTGGTCTACAAGAGCCAGAGGGTAGCCCAGGGTCATCCCCGCCTCCGCCGGCCCCGCCCACCCCATGCCCACTCCACCCCGCACCCCCCCTCCCCCCCCAGCTAGCTCTGCTCTCGACGGGCTGGCGCAGCCCCCGCAGCTGGGGGCAGAAAGGACACCGGCCGCACGGTCCCAAGGCCTGCGGTCTGGCTCCCTCTCCATGATGGCGCGAGCAAGCACACCTGCTCTCCGAGGCACAGCTTCCTCAGCTCGAAAATGGGCACAAACATTGTGCTGGTGAGACCCCCTGCGGCCCTTGGCCCACCTGCCCCACGGGGCTGTTGGAGAGGATTTGGTGAGACAGAGGATGAAAATGCCATCGGCAGGGCGCCCAGTCGGTGAAGCACCTGCCTTCCACTCAGGTCATGATCCCAGGGTCCCGGGATCGAGCCCCGCATCGGGCTCCCTGCTCAGTGGGGAGCCTGCTTCTCCCTCTCCCTGTCCCTCCCCCGCTGCTCGCGGTCTCTCTCTCTCTCTCAAACAAATATATTAAATCTTAAAAAAAAAAAAAAAAAAGGAAAGAAAATGGCACTGGTAAACAGGGAAGGGCTGACCCGTACAACCCCATGCTCTGGGGCATGAAGAGAACTGGCCTGGGGTGATCCCAGCCGGCGCTCAGCCCGAGGGGCTGGGCTGCACGGCGGCCAGGGGAAGGTTCCAGGGCCCAGGCCGCTCTCTGAGCCCACTCACCAGGGCTGCAACGGGAGCCACAGCTCAAGCACTCAGGAACCCAGTTCCAGAGCTGGGTGTATGTGCTGTTCTCACAGCGGGCACACACGGTATCTGAGGTCTTGTTGCAGAATGATCGTGCATGGGAGCCTGAGAAAGCAAGGGCCAGAGGTCAGGGGCTCATCCACCACCCCCCAGGGCCCCAGCGTCCTGAAGCCTGGGCGGGAAGGCTCTTTGAAAGTGTTCCAAGTCCTTCACCGAGCCATCTCACATCTTGCAGGCTCCCAGCCGTCACTTCACCACCACAGCCCTGGCGCTCATAAAATGCCTTTTCCTCTGCTCTTTCCAGATGCCTGGGATTCTACCACTGGAACTGCCTGTTGCTAGTCAATCACACTTTAGTGAGAACTGGTTTGCTAGCTCCTTTCTTCTTTACAATTGGCTAAAATTCTCCACCTGTGGGTGTGAACTGGCAGGACAACTAGTAGGAATGTGGTCCCTGGTTTCCCATCAAGGAAAGTCCCATGAGGACATGGGACTCTTGTGGGTCTGAAGAGAAGGCATGCCAAGAGATGGGAGAACACCAAAGCAAACCTTTAAGAAACGAGTTTCTCTCTTGAGCCTTGAGCCCTATGCTGCCATATTCACTGCTGTGCTAATCCAGTAACTTCTTACAGAGACCTTGCCAGTTAACAGAAAAAGAGTCACTTGTGAGGTCTCTTAAAATGGCTGTGGGAGATGACAGGTACACGCTTGCCCGCCCACACCTCAGGCTAACGGCTCGGGCCCTCCAATGGCTTCCTAGCTTTTGTAGAATAAAATCTAAGCTCTTACCATGGCCCCTGCTAACTTACTCTCTCTGGGCCACACACTGGCCTCACTGTTCCTCAGGTTCACCATATAGGCTCCCACCTCAGGGCCTTTGCACTTGCTGTTCCTCCAACCTGGCAGGCTGTTCCCTGTATATTTGTATAACCCACTCCCTCACCTCCTACATGTCTCCGCCCAAGTGTGGGCTCTTCAGAAAGGCCCTCCCTGACCACCCCGTACCAGACCGCATGTCCTGCTCCATCTGTCTCCATTGGCTTTACCCTGCCCTGTTTCCTTCACGGCATTTACTCTCTGATAGGACCACGCATCTATTTCCTCTGCTGGCTTCTTTTCCTGTGGCTCTATTAGATGCAAAATCCACGAGGGTGAGGATTTTGTCTGCCCTGCTCTGGGTTGTACTCCCAGCACTTAGAACAGTGCCTGACACTTAGATGGCGCTTTATAAATAGTATAGGAATGCATGTATCAACAAACGAGTAGAATGGATGACACCAGGAGTTGAGCCACTCAGCTTTCCCAACTGGGGTTAGGCCTCAGGCCCACCATCCGTGAAATGGGTAAGCACGCACTGACTGGGTCATATATGTACTGAACACCCACTATGTGCCAGGCACTCTGCCAGGCTCTGGGATTCAGTGGAGAACAAGCCCACGGTCCCTGTCCCAGAGGAGCGCACGGTGGAGCTGACAAAAGAGGAACCAGGCCATGACCGCGGGGTGAAGAGTAGCTGCCATGGGGGATGCCCAGGGGCCAGTGGGAGCTCAAAGGAGGGGCCAGATCTGACCAGACAGTGTGAGCAGGCTTCCTGGAGGAGGGGTACGTCTAAGCTGAGGTCTACAGGAAAAGTAGGAGTTAACCTGGGGAAGGGAGCTGGGAATTAGGCCAGGATGAGGGAACAGAATGTGCCAAGGCCCTGAGGCGAGAGGCAGCACGGGGCCAACTCCTGGAACTAGAAGGAATTCAGTTCGAACCGAGGGCCATGACCCTACCCCGCTCCGAGCCCCCCACACACGCTCCCTGCAAGGCGCCAGCCCCCAGAGCCCCAGGCGTCCAGGAGCCCCTCACCCGGCGGACACGTGCTGCAGCACATCTGGGCCCTCTGGTCGAAGTACTCTCTGTGCCGGCACTTGGTTCCAGGCTCCGGAGCGTAGGGGAGCGACGCAACCTGAAGAGGGAAGGAAAGGACAGCCCTGAGCACGGCCACCCCTGGATCCCGTCACCCCTAACACCACAGGACGGGGGTCCTGTGGCCGCGAGTGTCTGGCCCTCTCCCGCCGGTGCTCTCCTGACGTGGGGGCTTCTCCCTTTGAGCGGAAGGTGGACAGGAGAGTCCCCACCTTCTTGTACTGCCTCTTGTCCCTCCCTTGCGGGCGCACACGCATGCGTGCAAGTGGTGGCCCCGAGCCAGCTGGCCCGAGCGTCCGGCTAGCTCCTCAAACACTCCAGGGGACAGGGGTGGAGCGCGGGAGCTGCCGGAAGGCAGTGGCTTCAGTCACAGAGGACCACGGTGCTCAGCACAAAGCGGCCCTCTGCCTGGGATGCCTCCTACTCCCTCCTGTGCCTGGAATCACCTCCTTGGTGCTTCCAGCTGAGTGCTGCCTCCTCTGGGAAGCCCTCCCTGACTCCCCCAAGCTGTGTCAGGTTCCTCCCCATCTGGGCTCTCTCTGAACACTGGATACGGCCCCTTCGGACAATCAGCTCATTATGCTAAAGTGGGGTAGGGGGGTGCATGTACACCTGCGCACGTGTGCCCACGTACACGCATGTGTGCCCCCACATACACACATGCACCACAAACATCTGTGACGCAGGGGACAGAAATAGCGGCCTCACCATCTCTGGACCCTCAGACTCCAACACAGGGCCCACACAGCGTCGGGGCTCAGTCGATGAATGCCGGTTGATGACAATAACAACATGACCATGCCCTGAGCACTTATGGGGTGCCAGGTGCCGATCCAAGTGCTCCAGGTGCTGTAGGCAGTGGATGCTATCGCCCCCCACTCAGGTCCCCTTATACCCGCAGGGTGCCCAGCCCCCAGCCGCCCTCGGTGTTGACTGGTAAGGGCCCCAGCCTCCCTGCGGGACCGACACTGTGTACAGTTCATGCTCCAGAGACCCCCCCCCCCCCCGGCGGGTCAGGCTGCAGGGAAGTGGCCTTGGCCTTCCCCTACACACACGCACTGCCTAGGAGTCAGGACTGCCAGAGGCTTGACCGGGCCCTGCCACACACAGCTCAGGGCCAACAGCTGGAAGTCATTGGGGGGGGGGCGCAGAGATGACCCCTGGGGCTGGGGTTCCCTGCAACAGAGTGATCTGTGGCTCTTCCCGCCCGCACGCCTTTGCCCCAACTGCCTCCTCCACCTGGAACAGCTTCATGCTTCCTCGGACAAAATTCCACGTACCTCTTCTGACAGCAGCGCCCCCTTGAAGGCTTCCCAGCCCACACACCACCCTGAATCATCACTTGGACCCAGAATCCTGACCTCCTCCTTCAGGGCTCCTGGCACACAGGGCTGGGCCCCCACTAGGTGGGTGTCCTCCAAGCCTGTGGGTTGGGCGTAACTCTTTGTCACTACTCCAGAGCCTGGCATGTAGTAGGTGTTCAGGGGTCCCTAACCTAAGCAGTGGGTTTCATTACAATGTCATTCCTCAAGGGATCCATTCCAGCACCACGGCCACAAAGCATAAACAGGGGGTGCATCCATCACGCTGGCCTGGCCCTGAAGCGCACCCTCCATCCCAGGGCCAGTGCCAAACCCCCTCTAGTGAGTCTGGGAAAGACACAGGCTAGCAAGGGAAGTGGGAACCATTCCGCACAACACAGAGCCTAAAAAAGTGACTTCCATCCCATCTGGACTACAAGCTCGCATGTCCGTGGCTTTGCACATGCATGCACGTGAGTACACACACACACACACACACACACACACGCTCAATCCCAGTCCTTCTTCCTTCCCCGTTTGGTCCTGGAGTGGGCTGGACAAAAGGGGAAGGAAGCAAGGCCCCTTATCAGGGCTCCTCACAGTTGGGGGTGAGGCTCACTGTCAGTGTCCAAAACATCTGGGGGGCCTGTACTAATGATGTTCCTAATGACCCCAACCCCAACAAATGGGACAGATGCTCAGGGAGTGGGCCCAGGAAGCTGTACTGTTACAGAAAGAAAGAAAAAGAACCCCCAACCCCAAGCGATTCTGATGCTCTGCTGCTGAACATACCCGATTATCTGGCACCCCCGGACAGAGCGAGATGACCTGGCGTGGGGGCACAGAAGGAGACCCAGAGATCAAAGGCTAGGGGAGCCCCTAAACCAGAGAAATCATACCTTCTGCAGCCCCCTTTATACACACCATTCAACTGTGTACCAAGCATAGCAGAGGGCCTGACTCTCCCCCGTGGCCCCCCAGATAGGCCATCCTTGCAGGCTGCAACTGTGGGGCTTCCTGAAGGGAAGGGGCCGTGTCTCTCCCTCAGGCGGAGACCCCCAGAGGCAGCTGTCTGTCCCCAGAGGGCAGGGAGGGCTGCACATCCTTCTCTTGCAGCCCCCTGCCCTGCAGGGTGGCTAGCACAGTCCTCGGGGACCCAGCCCAGCACACCATGGGCTTCATCCCCACCAGGACCCTCAGCAGTGACTACGGAAGCCCCTCACTCACGTAGGGCTGAGAAGCACCAGGCCAGTGCAGCTCCAACAGGCAGAGAGAAACCCTCAGCCTCAGGGGCGGCCCTGGGAGGCCAGCCCTGGCTGGGGTGGGAGGATTTCCTGTCAGGGTCCAAAAGGCCTGATGGGAAAGGGCCCTACCCTGGCCAAGCCTGCGTTGTCTCTCCACCCACAGGCCAAGGGTTCCTGGACAAAGGCAGGCAGCAGGACCCCCACAGCCCCCAGCCACTGCCTGGAGGCCTCCCGTCCAGGGCCTTTTCCGGTCAGAATCTTGTTATGAACACCCTTCCCTACACTTTCTCCTGCTGCTGTGTGTGATTCCAGAGCCCAGGAGCTGGCCGCGGGCAGAGGAGGTCAGCCCTCGCTTGAGCAATCTCCAGGCCTGTTTATCCTCTTGGACAGAAAAAAAAAAAAACAAAAAACAACCAACCACAGCCCTGTCACGGCTTAACAATGAGGAACAGAAAGCCCCTCTGCAGAGTGGGACAAAAGGTCACTCCCTCCCTCTACTGTGGAGCTCCCCAGAGCAGAGGCCCTGCCGACCCACAGCCCCAGGAGCCCCAGGAGCCGGCCTCAGGTCACCTCAGGAGCCACATGGGCCAGGGGTCTCTGGATGTCCCCAAAGCGGGGCAAACGGGCTCTGGGGAACGCGGGGCTACAGAAGCTTCTAGATCCTTTGGCTGGTGTTGGGGAGTCTCAGACTCACATATCACCCACCCGCAGGGAGCTCTGACTGACATTTTAAAATGAGGAAATAAATTGGATAGTACTCAATTTACTCAGCAGTTTAGCAAACCCAATCTTCCAAAATACAAGGTCCCTAGGTGAAAATCTGGAAATCACTGATGACTCTTAACCATAACAGAGGAGGCAATCTGTGACCCAGTGTGGGGATGGGGGACTGGAGAGAAGATGGATGGGTGGGTGGATGGGCAAATGGATGGATGGGATTGGGAAATAAGGGGCGGAGAGGAAAATAGATGAAAGGAAGGTGGGAGAGAGGGGGGAAGTAGGGAGGGAGGGATGAAGGGGAGGGAAGAGAGGG